TGTGTGTGTGTGTGTGTCTCTGTGTGTGTGTGTGTGTGTGTGTGTGTGTGTGTGTGTGTGTATGTTCTTTGAATGCACACTACATGAATATGAACCCACACATACCTACATTTACCTGCATGGGTATAAAGTACTAAAAATCCACGTATAACCACATTTACTCACATTTACCCTCATGGGTAAAAGCCCATGCATACGCACCTGTGCCACGGTGCCACCACACCCCGCCACTTCGGGATTTTTTGGTCGACCCCTGTTATACCGGGTGCGCCACATCACGTGTGCGCGCATGCATGCACGTGCGCTGTGCACCATGCACGATAAATATGATATATTATGGAAAACTTTGAATAAGCTGCTCCCTGCAGACTGATTTATCTGTATTGTTATTCTTGGAATTCGCAGAATCATTGTGGTGGGATGGATTCTTGCAGCATTGATGTTCGTTCTCTTCGGCTGTTACACAGCCCTGTATAAGTAAGGTTCATTCACTTTCTTTCAATCCCTGCATGTCTCTTATGTGCTCCTTTTCATTCATTCTCGTCAGCTGTTACACATCCCTTTATATCTAAGGTTTATTCATTTCTTTCGATCCCTGTATGGTGGCATCGCTGTACCGATGAAATGGAAGGTGTGAGGATAGATGGCCCTGAATTCACAGACACTATTAAACAACAGATACAGACCGATATCACTACCCATTGGGAAGGGGTGCGGCCACATCTCCACAATCTTTATTCCTGCACAGAAATCCGAATGGCAACTGGCTTGGGGGGATTCATGGTGGGAAACTCGGGATAATGCGGTGGAATGGGGCACAAGAGAGGGAAACAAGGTGAAATGTGCAGAAACTATCACTTGGTATTTCATGGCTGGACCACTCTGGACCCCTCCATCCCACTTTCCCCCCTCTCAGACTATCCAGACCCCCTCCCTCCCTCTCCTATGAGTATGGTAGCAAGGAGTTGGTTTGGTATGAATCTGCTATGGATTAGACTCACCGGTTTTGGAATGTTCTTGTCTCAATGTCTTTTTGCAGAGTATGCATTTGGGATGATAGGAGGGTTTAGGGTTTGGGGTTTAAGCTTGGAATTGTAAAACAGAGTATTAGCACTTTATAGGTACAGCTTACATGTTTCTTTTCTACTGACCTTTTGGACGCCCTGTCCCGAGCCTCCCAAATTTTAGTAGAGGCTCGATCGGATTCTCAACTTGGCTGGGGCCACGTACTGGTCGTTTAAGCTTCCTTCACCTTCTTTTAGTGATCCAACTGGATTCATGTGCTCCCTTGCCCTTCCCTACAACTTTGAGCCCTTGTATACGTCTTGGAATTTGTGGATGCGGTTCCTTTACTCTTTCAGTGTTTCAAAAGGTTATGCCAACTCTCGTGCACTGCTCAAAATTGTGAACCCCTCGTTTACGATCTTGGCATGTGTGGATGCTGTTCATTTATTTTCTTTCAGTATCCAGGAGAGTTCATTCATTCTTGTGCAGTGGCTGGAGCTGAACTTGCAACCTGCCCTTTCACCCCTGAGCTAATTGCCGTCTTTCACCCCTTCCTTTATTATATATTTTCTCTTCTTGGCCGTTACATGTGTTGCTGTATCTGTCTGTCCTACCCCAGACATTAGTTACGTTTCGTAAATGACTTCTAGAGTTGGATCAACGGTTGCCCAAACGTCCGAGTCGGAATCACTCTCACAGAGGATATCATCACTACGTATACAAAGTTCCTAAGCCACATGGGTGGGTACGGTGTATCTGCACCCTCCATTCTATCGGTGTGCGACCGTTGAGCCGCTGGTATTGCGTTACTGGATGGTCGACATTGCATTGTCATCAGGTGAGAAAAGGGTGAGCACGTGGCTACGCACATCGGGCGGATGACAGCTGTGCTGGTCAGTTGTGCTTCCTCCGGCCAAATTCATACAGGGGATGCTTGTGTGCCAGTCAGGAAAGCCAATGGACACAGGTGCGCCCATCAGCGTGTATGTGCTGGTGGCTGAATTCTCAAATGAACCGCCGCCACTCTTAGGGAGGCCAATAAACGACGGCTAGCAGGCAGCCGGATGCAAAAAAAAAAAAAAAAAAAAAAAGCTCTTCGGAAGACTAATAAGACTCGATCTGTCTGAATTAAAAAAGGGACTCTTCTTCTGTCTTGGGCCGCTTCCAGCCCAGTTAGTTCTTCCGCGGTCCCATTTCCTTGGCCGGCAACATGCCCGGTTTTCTGTTGCAAAGGTATCCGAAAAGTGCTCCGTGGACAGTATACTAGATTCGTCTTCGGGATGTGTATGCCAGTTTTTTCTTGCTGCTGCATTGAACGCGCCTGAAGTGGTTGACACCGTCTTGCTCACTGCACTGCCAACACCTTTTCCCAGCGAACACAGACACGCACATGCACACATGCACAAAGAGATAGAAACATATAGATGGATGGATGGATGGGTATGTGGAGCGAGAGCGCTTGTGCGCACGGGCACACACACACACACACACACACACACACACACACACACACACACACACACACACACACACA